ATATATAAAGTGTGACTAAATAGTTGAGCCTATGAATATAATCAAAGAAAACTTAAAATGGAATTTTTTTTTCAAATGACAACAGTAACAGGAAGTAGCATATATGTATATATATGAAAGACATTATATAATGGGAAAAAAAGTGAATTAGAATTCAGAAACCTTCTAAGGCCAAAAATAAGTCTATTACTGGATCACGTTGTTTTGAAAAAATACATAAATATACTTTATGATGACGATACCATGTAAGAAACTATAATCACATAATTATTACCAAAACATTAGAGAAGAACAACAAGTAAATAAAGTACTTACTTAAGTTTTTCTGTGAATATATACTGGGTAAAGTCCTTCATTGATGGAGCAAAAAACATAGTGTCTTTTATTTTAATACCTTTACTTTCAATGTGCTCCGAAGAATTAAACCGTAACACATAAAATGGATGTGCAACAGGTCCAAATATCTCAAATATCTAGATAATACAAAAACATAAAAGACCTGTTAAACATTTGAAAGTAACTTGAAAAGTTAGTGATATTTTAGAATTCCACAATGATAACTGCTTTAGGGTGATTTATCAAAGTTAGACCAATAAAATAAATTTTTTCATATGGATTATAAGTGCTTTAACTTATTCTACATTTCATTTCAATGAATTTTAAATTAGTAAAAAGTTTGTTCCTTGTTAAATAAATTTGTGGTACAATCAATAGATGAAAACTACAAATTTTTGGTTTTATTACTGACCATTTAAGTCATTCAGTAAAAAGAAACAATCAAAATTGGTAACTTTTAGGAAAAAAATTTGTGTGTTTGGAATCTAATGACATAAAACTTTTGCTTTCATGGGCAATCAATCATTTCTGTTTTTTACCTAAATTGGAAATTTGATTTTTATGATTAATCTGGCCTGATGTCAACTAACACATTTCAAAGTGCCCACTTCATTACATCCTCACAGTTGCTTACTTTTACTTTTCACAGTAAATGCACTCTCATTTTATGCTCTTCATTATAGCATTTAAATTTTTATAAATAAAGTACAAAACAGCCCACCCACTAGGTCACCACCATTCTCAAGGTTTGATTACTCTTAAGACATTCAAAGCAATTAAAATGCTAATGCATTTTGAAGTAACACTAACAGCTTCAAAAATTTAAAGTTTTTTTTTTTTTAATTTTAAAAGCAAACAGACAATTTAAGAAAGCAGCAAGAAATCTTGCTCTGAAAGATTTATATAAAAGCAGTAGACTTCTTCCATCCAGAACAACATAGGAATAAAGGGGTCTACTGCAGCATCTCTCACACAAATTTTAACAACTATCAATTTAAATCCTTTGATGACTATAGACAAATCTGATTAAATGTGGTGAAGGGGTAATAAACAGCTTGTAAAAAGTATCCTATGGAAAGCTGTATGGAGGTTCTTCAGTCAACTAAAAATGGAGCTATCATATGACCCAGCAATTCCACTCCTGAGGATCAACTCATAGGACACAAAATCATTAATATAAAAGAATACATGCAATCATGTTTACTGCAGCACTATTTATAATAGGTAAGACGTGTGTCAACCTAAATGCCCAAAAACAGACGACTGGATCAAGATGTGGTATATATATATATGCAATGGAATTTACTCAGCAACCAAAAAAGATAAACTAATGCCATATGCAGCTGCATGGATGGAACTAGAAGGGATTTTATGCAGTGAAATAAGTCAGAAGGAAAAAGAATAATACTGTATGGTTTCACTTGTAGGAGAATATAGAAGATCTAGGAACAAACAAAAAAATAAACAGCCAACTATAAATTAGAGATGTTCTGCAGGGGAAGGAGAGGGACAGGAAACAAAGAGAGGGCAGGGAGAACACAGGGACTATGCAGAAGGTGCACGGTGAATGGGTGATGAAAATTCTTTGGGGACTACACTGTACAAAAATGAAGAATGATGTAAAATATACATACAAACAAATATTTTTTAAAATGTCATATGGGTCCGTGTCTATGTGGTAGTCATGTCTGTGACCCCACATAAAAAGCTGTTTCCCAGGGACTTGCTTCCTTGATCACATGATTTTATTTTCTAACTGAAACATGATTTCACCAGAGAAAAGTTTAACAGCTTCAGGTTTCTGCAGAGAATGAAAATGTAACATGATTCTTAGACAAAAACAGAACTTATTTACTTCATTATTCTTAGGATCATAATGTTGTGAAACAGTTACTCTGAAATGAGTAACTCCAAGGTCATCCAGAATAGTCTCTTACTGATCACTTTAGACTACTTTGACTGCTTAGCCACTGCCTGATCAAATGCTTGCTTCAATCAGTGTGTATTCTGTATCACAGGTTACTGACAGAGAAAACATAACCATGATCTATATAATCAAGAGACTGAGAAAACCATGTCATGCTTCCAAGCAAGACTTTACCATAAAGTGTTTCTTTATGATCAGTAAAGATTCCTACTCAATGATATTTAATAAGGAAACAGATTCATTGTTTTGGTCTAGTAAAAAGTAACACAAGACACTATCAACAAAAATAAAATCTGCTCCAACAAATACTCAAAACAAATAACCAACAAGTTCACAGTATAGAGGGAAAATAAGTAGCAGAAGTTGACAAAGATTTCCCTGTTATTGAAGAGCTAAATATTATGGCATTTCATTCATCACTTCTCAAAAGGAGAGAATAGTAGGATCAAAAGCAAAAGCACAAATGCAATTCTGAATTTGTCCTCCTTTAGTCAGTGAGGGAGGGAAAACTTTGTGGTTTTAGCTAAAGAGCAATAAAATTTCACTTCCATGTGAAATTATAGTGAATTTTAAAAGATACACAAATACTTATCACTGTGGTGGATCATTAGTGTTTACTCGGGGAGTGGAAGAAACATGTATGAAGGCTGAACTAATTTAGTGTCTCAATAAATTATGCTAGTGATCTGAAAGTAGATTCAATTTCATTTTCTGGTCACTGGTTTAGCTGCTACTTTCAACCTTCCCTATTTCCACCATTATTTGCAGGAATTATGTCAAGATCCTTACATTTATAGCCAAATATTTTTGAAAGCCCTGCCACTTTTCAAATTTACAAAGCTTTCTATGTAAAATTTAGAAATATTTATCACACTAGACTTAGTCACAAAGCTAAAGTTAGAGGCGTGAATGCTACATTTTTGTTTGACTCTTCTCAGTCACATGACAGCAAAACTGAATATTATTAGTCATTTATGGAACCAAAATTTCAAATGTATTAGAGGACATCAGAAATGTGAATTTAGAGGCTTTTAGTTGAAAGCATGTTGGGTATTTTGAAGTTAAAATTGTCTAAACTAGCTACTGACAGAAAAGACAACTGTCATGACAATCAAAAATAAAAGGAATCTTGGAAATAATCAGTTTCAATTGACAGTCAGAAAAGCAAAATGTGTTTCTCGCCTCTTCTCCCCTTCTCTCATCTACTACTTTGTTGAGGACACCAACAAATGTTTTGCTTTTGCACAGGACAGAACACTGGGTTCTCATAAACCATGGACATGGAGAGCTGCTCAGAGCAGCAGTGGCCTACTCAGTTCTCATCCCTTTTCTCCCAGCCTTCTGTGAGGTTAAGTCTTGAGTAAATCTCCAACCCTTTAAGACAATGCAGCACGGACACTTAGAAGTATTAGGCCTAGCTATGTGAAAGGGAAGTAAGTAGAGCACCATCCTTCAGGTATTAGAAAGTCCGTCTCCCCTTTCTTGATGTGCCAAAAAATACTAGCTTCACATGCCAATTAATTCTGCTGCTAGCTATTTTGTAATCCCAACTGCCTCATTTCTCTTTGTCTGTCACCCTAAAAAACTGTGTAGATAGAGCACAGGGTGGCAGGACCCTATAAAAACAGTTGCCTTTTTAATTGGCATTAGCATGGAATAGTAGGGAAAAGCAAAAGGTAAGAGAATCAACCCAAAGAGATTGTTTGAAATATATGCTTTGTTCTGATTAAACATAAACTTATACCAACAAAAAAAGTCAACTACTGTTACCTGCGGAAAACTAAGCCCCAGAAAGCAGGTTCTCCAAAGATAGCAGGAAGTTTCTCATTTGTTTACAAATCAATACATATTTACTTATTTAGGCATAAATGTACAAAAAACTATACTAGACTCAGTGGGGAATCACAGTGACATGAATAAAATCTTGTTCCTAACTGACAAAAAAGAAGCACTGGTTGACAGTTGCAAATTAGAAGGGTCTATATCCTCAACTGACTACTCAGCACTGTATGTTCACTGGGGAAAATGTGTGGTCCTCCCTATCAAGATGAAGATGTTTGCAGAGTTATTCCATTAGTGAGATGATTACAAAGGACTGAACCTTATGGTGAATTGAAAGTATTTACAGCTCCTCAGATGCCCAGTGACACTCGATAACTATTGCTGGAATCCTTTTGCACTTGCAAAAGATTCCACTCTAGGCCTCTACGTGAGGAACTCGGCCTAAAAAGATTTGGGAGGCAGACCAAGAGGCTAAGAGAACTATATTATGGAAAGTCTCCTGTTCTCAGTTCTGAGTGTATGGAGGGTAGGAAACTGTTTCTGCTCCAATCCATAGATTCACTGCCTCCCAAGGCACCTGACAAATACTAGGAATATACTAAAATAGACTGCTTAACTACTAAAGTTAATAAACTCTTACCAGGACAGATAGGAAAAATCAGGGAAAACAATCATCAAAGAAACAGACTAACTTGATTTAACATTTTTTACAAACCTTTCCTGCTGCCTGTCGATCACTTTTAAAAACGACAGTCTCTTCATTAACTGGAGGTAGGTTAGTCATTGATTCAATTATTACTGGAAAATCAAACAACAAAGATTATTTCAAGATTTAATCAGAAGATAATGTAGACTTCATATAGAAATTTAATCTTTAATTCCAACACAGTTTAAAATAAAATTTAATGTGGAGATATACACTTAAGTATCTATTGCTATTGGATAAAAAAAAGTACTTATTTCCAAGCATCACAGAGAACTACATGCTTTTAATACAAAAAGATAAAACTCTAAGAAATAACTCAAAGTTTAAAACCTGAATCACCAAAGTATAAAAGCTGAATCACCTATTAAAGAGTCAAATTCAAGCTGATTTTACCCAATAAGTATGATCACATTTAGTCACAAAACTCCTGTCTTATAATAAGTCTTCTTTCTCACTCTAGAAATTCTTGTCTTCACAGTACTGATACATATTTATTACCAAAGGAAAAAGTTAGACCTCAAATAAGTATCTTCCTTAGAACAGATGATGAATGGTAGAGTTCACAGTAATTTTTCGCACTTCTCAAAAAGCGAAAACATTATCCCACTGGTCTAGCATAATCTACAAGTCTTGTAAGTGCTATAAATGTTACACAACCAATCTACCACAGCAAAGAGAAAAAAACTAAACATGTTAGGTTTTTAGTATTAGAGCAGCAAGCCAGAGTACTCAATTACAATACAGAGACAATGCCATATGCACTTTGGAATGATATATATTAGTTCAGGTTATTAAATTTCATGAAAATTTTCAATTGTCTAACATTTAATTTCAACAATTAAGTACTTCTAAATTCTGGACATATAGCAGATTATCCAACACATTTTGAGCTAGACCTGCTTCTGGTACAAAGCAATGAGCAAGGCTTAATAGTGACAATGACCATTCTGTCGCCTCTGCTCTCCTTAAGCCCCTCTCCAAAAGTCAAATTAAAATGTTAAAATAGCCACATGGCCAATTATCACCAGAACCTAGATCACCAATTCCAGGGCTTGTCCTGTATCAGAACTACTGACTATATTTCTGTAACCTGAGAGTTCCAGTCTATTACTATTATGATTCTAGGTGACAGTTTTCAGGTGACTGGTTACAAGGAAGCAAAGACTGGATCAAAATTTTGCAAAAAATTATCAAAGGTTATCAGTACTCTAAAATATGTTCTAGTAAAAGATCCTTAATAAGATCTTTAAAATATCTCTTTACTACTACCTAAATATTAAGACTCTGATATTTTTCAAATTAAAAAGAAACCAAACCAGCATAATTTGTACAAGAACTGCAGAATGTACTTAAAATTAAATCCTCTCTTTTCATCTTTGGGTTTCTATTTGAAATCATACATTTCTGGGTTTGATGGATTATTTATTGTAATTTTTGCCCAAACAGATAATTTTAGGCTTTCAAAACAAGTAGTATGTAACAGTAGCATGTACGAATTTTGATTCAATTTGTTTGAAAATTGTTTGCACAGTAGGATTTCTAAGTCTGAAAATCATTGAAAAAAAACACTCCATGAATGTTTTATAGTTTACAATTTTCGAGGATAAACATTATGAACTAAACTTTTTTTCTATAATTAAATCTGACTAAGTGCTAAATGTATACTATGTCATCAAATAATTATCTTTGACTTTTTTTTT